TCTGGGTCCAGAGCCGCTGCTGGACAGAACCAGCTACAGGAGGACCAACGACTCGTTAGCACCACAGTCCTGTGACGTTTGGTTTCCAGTTTCTGGTCGTCTCCCTCTGCACGGCCCCGTGGCAGAGAGCTGATCTGCAGGCAGCCAACGCTGTAAAAAGAACTCTGAAAGTCCCGCTCAGGCCCGCCTACGAGGAATGATGAATCCAAAACTAGGAGTGAAATCTAAACCGTCATCTGGGTCCGACGTGGAAACATCTCTGGTTGTAAAAACCTCCAGTATTTACAGCTAAAACACTCGCTTGTTGAGGCGTTTCTGCAGAGTCGTTGTGGAGAACCCGCAGGAAACACGAGAGCCCCCCCACCCCCACCAGTGGCTCTGGATCTCCCCTCCCAGCTTCCTCACAAAGGCCAGGGCAGGTCGCTGAAGTCGACGGGGCCGCCCAGGCCGGCGTCCGCCTCCAGCAGGGACATGATGACCGCCATGGCCGCCTCGTCGTTGCTGGGGCTGCTGGAGCCGGGCTCGTCGATGATGTCTATGCTCAGGTGGGAGTTGTCGCCTGGAGGGGACGACGGGTCGATGAGAAAAACGATGGGAAAAACAAACAAAGCCAGGGAGAAAAGGTGTGTTTGTGACACTCACTCATGATGGACTGGTTGGAGTAAGGGTAGCCTACAGAGTCCGGTCCGGTCATGAGCCCCGTGCTCGGCAGCTCAGGTGTCCCCCCGTTCTGGATCTGTGGAGGAGCACATTACAAGTCCTTTACATCACCTTACAGCACTGACTGCTTCATTATCAAACATTTCATTTCAGCCGCGGTTTTCCACCGTTAGCCGCGGTTTACCACCGTTAGCCGAGGTTTACCACCGTTAGCCACGGTTTTCCATCGTTAGCCGAGGTTTACCACCGTTAGCCGCGGTTTACCACCGTTAGCCACGGTTTTCCATCGTTAGCCGCGGTTTACCACCGTTAGCCGCGGTTTTCCATCGTTAGCCGCGGTTTACCACCGTTAGCCACGGTTTTCCATCGTTAGCCGCGGTTTACCACCGTTAGCCGCGGTTTTCCATCGTTAGCTGCGGTTTTCCATCGTTAGCCGCGGTTTTCCATCGTTAGCCGCGGTTTACCATCGTTAGCCGCGGTTTACCATCGTTAGCCGCGGTTTACCATCGTTTGACGGTTTACCATCGTTAGCTACGGTTTACCATCGTTAGCTACGGTTTACCATCGTTAGTCCCGGTTTACCATCGTTAGCACTGGTTTTCCATCGTTAGCCACGGTTTTCCATCGTTAGCCACGGTTTTCCATCGTTAGCCACGGTTTTCCATCAGCCACGTTTACCATCGTTTGATGGCCATTTGAGAAATAGTTTTGTTTCATATATGTTAAGAAATGTTTGTTTGCTAAGAGTTTATTTCAAATAATATAATTTACAGAGTCATTTGGTTTTGGTTTTGTTTATTTATGTTATGATCTTCCCCATTTTCGACTAGTCATATCTCCTGGCATGTTATCGGTTATTATAGGTATAGGTTCTTAAAATAAGTTATTGTACATCTCTAGTGTTAACGTATTATTTTAAATTGGTCTCCAAACGATGCTAGCGTTTATCGCAATCATTTGAGACAATTTATCGTCCAGCAAAGTGAGTAATGGTGACAGGCCTACTCATGTTGTTTTATAACTGTGGGCCTCACACGGCAGCTGCTGACTTTGTTAATTTGCCAGAAGTGCTGTGATTTTTTACCACCATGTGCTGTTATGACAGGTAAAGAAAGGTGTTGCAGAAAACAAAGGGATAAATTCCCAACTACTGAATCTAAAAAGAGCTGTTGTGTTTCGTACTTTCTTGGCCCCTGGAGAGCAGGTGTCAGGTGGAGGGGTGCTGGTAATATTCAGAGGGCTTGAGCCACAGCTGGAGGGGGAGGAGCCTCGAATCCTGAGGGGGAAAAAAAACAAACAAAAACAGATGATTTCAGTGCTTCTGAAGCACACTTCCTGTTGTACTGAGCCAACAAACCGGTGTCTCARCATCAGGCACCACGTCTAATAAAACTTCACTCAAACACTTGTGAACCACTCAGTTTATCCACTAACACAGAAACAGAGCCAACACTGGAACAAAACACTTCTTGGCAATTATCTTCTCGTCCAATCCAAAACCAGAAGAATTAAAAACACAATCATTTTCAACAATAGGCTTCAATTAGCTATTATTAGTTAAAGGTCACTTATTAACATGTTTTAGTGCATAAAAAGAAATTATAAGGAGCAAAATGACACYTAACTGACTTCTAAGAATTTTTTATCAAAAAATCAAATTTCTGCCTGCCTGAAATGCATTTAAGATGTAAAATGTGTGGAAAAAAAAACTGAATTTTGCCATTTTGATTAAAAAAAAACAACCTTATAGTAACCTGTCACCWGATTTATTCTGCGTCTAACAGAAGCCAGTGTGAGTCACGCTGGCAGGACATCAGTCACGGCCGAGCGACGGAGCCCACAGTGAGATCATATCGAGATGCTTCACATCGTACCACATGTGGTGATTTTCCATTTCCCTCTCATGTTTCTCCAAATGAGCAGAAACGATGGAGCACAGCASAGGAGACGTGTTTGGGAGAGGTCAGATCCTGCACTCAGTTTGTCTGAGAGGCTTCCAGGTTTCCAGGATGTAAGAGGAGGCTCGTGATGACTGAGAAATCACGTCTCGCTCATCTTTATGGTTTTACTCCTAACTGGGTCACAATGATTTCCCATCAGCTTCATTTGAATTCTTTTACCTCTGGATCTCCATCACTTCCTCTGCTATCATGCGTCCGATCTTCCCGGCTCCTGCTCTGGTGCCACCGGGAATGCCAGGCACGGTCTGCAGCGCCCGCCTCCCCCCACCTGTCAATCAAGAACAACAAAAAAAAGGGCAGAGGCTAAATTTCTGTGGTTTTTGGTTTGTTGTTGACACTTTTAGGCAGTGGATAAACATTTTACCCTCYGAGGTCAGAACACTGTCCATGCTCTGTGGAGACATGGCCGACTGAGGGTAATCTGATCCTTCCATGATGGGACACCTGGAGAGAGGCGGAGTCATTGCTCACCTTCCAGTAGCAGAGGCAGGTAAATAAAAAACTATCTGGATACTTACGACACCACAGTGTTAGTAGAGACGATGTACTCCACCTCCTTGGTCCAAGGGTTCATAAAGCTGAACCATCTGCTCCTCAACGTAATGAAAGAACCGTCTTTGATTTTGAATTTGTAACAGTTGGTGTTGATCTTTTCTCTCATCTGCAGAACTGTGAAGGTTGGAAGTGAATGCTGAGTGCAGCGTCATAAACAAACAACTAAACAAAGAAAACACTTAGTTCCTCTGCTCAATGACTTGCAGCTCTCAGRAAAATACCTTGTCTGTGACACTCTGCCAGGTGGCTGATGTCGTCCTGGTGGAAATACTCGTAGAAGGAAGTTCCCAGCAGCTCCTGGGGCAGGTACGCTAGGATAGCTGTAGCTCTGAGGAAAAACAACAAACAGGATGTTTTCACTTCCTCCTGAGGGGCGGGGTTCCTACAGCTTAACGTCATTTAAATTTAAGAATAGAATAGAACAGAATTCCATTTGCACAAATACTTTATAGTATAAGCACAGTGGAATTCTTGTCCATTTCTCCAACTCAAAAAATGGTAAAAAATTTATAAAAATATACACTGTAATAAAAAATTTAGTAAAATAAATATTAAATAAAATAGACATACAGTAAGTACATTGAACTACTATAGTCATTGATA